GAGGGCTTTTTTTTATGTATGACATACTACAGGTTAGCCACAACTCCCATTTGGAGGATGATGTATGGGAATTCAACCATGCAAGTGCCATTAATGATGCATGCCTGCATATCTAAGAGCAAGATAGAGCCCTAAGAATGAATGAAAACACAGCGTGTTTTCACAATGAACACTGTACTTGTGTCTTAAATATTATTTTGTTCTATTCTGCCTTGTGAAGTAACTTTCAATAAAAGTCTTCTCTCTTTTCATGCCTGTGTATTTGCCCTTTTAATTACATTGTTGCTAGCTCCTGCTTTTGCACAGATGATGTTTGATTGTATCTTTTGTGATAACTTCTATTCTCAGTACCTGCCTCGATCAAGCACCCTATTAACTTCCTTTCACCTTCTTTCAGGTAAAACCCTCAGAGGATAAAGGGTTAGTGTGAGCAAATCATTCACAAATTACTCTTTTTCATCACTACAATTGAGACTTTCTGCTTATTTGTAACAGATCTACAGTATTTCAAGGCAACTGAGCCAATGGGCAGGAGTAGCAGCTAGGGGTGGGATGTTCCTTGTCCACAGCGATTATCCCTCCAGGCTAGATGCAGATTTCCACAAAGCGACAAAATTTGCAGTGAAAGGAAGTATCACCAAAGATGTTGTCCCCATCCTGTGTGGGTTCCTTAACACTTCTTGGCCACCGTCTCTGAAAAATCAGCTTCTGAAATGGCTTCCATAACAAACGGGGTTGCACTGTGTGCGTTTGGTGCTTGCTGCAAACTTGGCTATCCATTTCCTAGATGATTTTAGGTAAAATTTATGCGTTTGTTCTCATCTGCTTGCCCAAGGATTTATGTAGCATTAATGGGAGCTTGGCATGTATAGAGATGAAAATGAACTCTGGTGTGTTGCTTGTTGCTTGCTTTAGAAAGCATTCCTTTTTATCGGTATCTAATGTGACATTTGGTTTATATATAAATGGTTTGCAAACAAGATGGCAAAACACTACTAGCTGGGCAAGATGAGCTCATAAAAAGCTCTCAGAAATCCTCAGGATTTTTTTTTAGCAACTGATACTTCCTCTCATATATCCCTTACACAAAAGTTTCCTCACATGGAGTGTTTTGTGCACAATTTGCAGAACAGATTTCTCAGTTTTGTAGGTGCTACTAGGGGGAAAAGTGCACATCTTGGTCCTCAGCTTTGTTAGTTCGGTCTTGTGTGTCCTCATCGGCTCATTATTAGTAGGAAGTAGAACTCTTCTCAATTTTCCTGTTTTCTCAAGGCTTGATAGAATACCTTCCCATGTAAAACAGACATAAAATTTGTTATGGACTTACTTAACTTCTAAGCTTTCTGTTTCGTACTAGATATTGTATGAGCTACTGCGTTCAGTTAACTGAATGTCGGAGTAAATATCTGCAGAAATAGATGAATACATCTTTTTGGGGCTGTTATTTTTTTTTTTTCCTGGGAGGAGGTATGTTATTTTGTTATTTTGCCATATTTATATATTGCGCTTTTACTCCCAAATGGGGATTGTGCTACAATAGGGTGTGTAACTGCAGAATGACTGTTCACACAGGAAAAAAAAAAAGTGTTAACAAATTGAATAGTAATGAATTAACCTGCAGAAAAAGCATTTTGCCCTAGTGCACAGAAACCCTGCATAACTAGAGCATATAATTTTAAATGAAGCAGGCTCTAGGAATGCCTCAACGGGTGTGATGTCGACAGTAGCTCATAATTCATGGATATGAATTATGGCTGAGTATCAGGAAAAAACTTCCTGACATTGAGATCTATTAGGCTGTGGAATAAGCTCCCATGGGAAATGGTGGAAATCCCATTGCTTAATCCCAGGCGGAGCAGCGAGCAAGGAGGGAGCCCGGGCCTGGCCTGGGCCCTTCGAGGCGAACAAGGTCATGGCTTGGGACGGTGCCCTGCACGGGAGCCGCGTCCCCAGGCTGCAGGGGAGGCCGTGGGGTCTTCTAATACTAATTCATCCATGGTTGGATCACGTAAAATCTTCCCGTTGCTCCCCAATCAAATACTTAATGTGCACAGTTTGGTTTTAATTTAGAAGAGAGGGATCTTCGGCTGTGATATGGCTGTGATGGGCTAAAACTATTAAGCCCATCAAGGCTGTTTCATCGCAGTGACAGTGTGTGATGTGGCTGTTCATCCCCATAACCTTCAGCTGCTGGGACAGCCTCTTTTCCCCCAGTTTTACATGCTAAAGTTTAGAATCAGTTGGCCCGACCCTTTCTCACCACCAGCTGCTTGCTCCCTGCTCAACAGTTACAGCTTCTATACATGCATAGCCCCAGTGTGCCACAGGTAAGAGGGACTTTCTCATTGAAATGACATGAAAAGAATGTCAAACAGGTGCCAAATCAAAAAGATGCAAAAACCCCCCCTTTTTTTCTAGATGATTTGTTAAACGCTAACCAGACAAAGGTCTGATTAAAGGCCACAGAGCAGATTTCTGCCCTCGTGCATGCAAAAGGCACTGTGCACGCATAAGTAAGGTAGAATTTTATTCCCAAATTAGCTCATTTGCTTGATGCAAAACTGAAAGAAAATCCTTATGACCAGCTTATAAGCGTATATAATGAAAAATTACAACAGCAGAAAAATGTATTTGTATCATATCTCTAATTCAGCAAAGTATTAATCACACTGATGTTCAGCAGTGTGTTTAAATACATGCTTAAGTACTTTGCTAAGTACTGTCTGTAAACAACTCTATACACTGTGCATTAACAGGGGACAGAGTTTCTCTCTGCTGTCTCCAGGAGACTAAAACGGTGTCAAGAGCGGGATGATCTGTGGTGTCCAAACTGCAGCTTTCTGGCTGGTCCCCAGGCAGCCCTTGTCTCCCAGCTGTGCTACCATTACTGTCTGCACAAGCTCATTGAAACTTTGTTTTATTCAGCAGAATCACAAGCGCTGGGACCAGCTGTGCATTCCCAGGCTCCCACCAGCTTCAGGAGGGCAAGCGAGACCCGCGGTGGAGGTGGCCCCGTCAGGGCTTCCCGCAGTGCTCACAGCTCACACTGGGCTCTGTTCAACGTGCAGGGTGTTTCAGGGGCTTTCTGCATCGGGGCGAATTTCACCTCGCAGGAGCAAAGAGCACAGTTGGAGCCGTGGTTCTCCTGCCGCCCCGCAGACCGTCTCCATCAGAGCTCCAGGGCATGGCCATCATCTAGACACTCAAGAGTGACGGGTTTTTTCCCTAACTTCTGAGATCTACAACAGCCGTGAAGCCCTGTGAAGCTTCCCTGTACCTTCATCCCAGGGGCGTTTACGTGGGCGCAAAACAGTGGTGCTCACAGAAGTCAAGATAAATTTTTAAATAATGCTAGCTTTTTTGAATAATGCTAAATTTGATGTTCTAGGAGAAGATGTTTTTATGCAGAAAGCTTCTGTTGATCCATCAACTTCTATTCCTTTTTGAAAAAAAAAAATCCTTCACATTTGGCCATTTAACCATGCACTACCAAGGTCATTTGGCCCTGCTTGTAGAGTCACTGATGACCTTCTGCCCCGTCGCAAATGCTTTTGTCCCAAACTTCTCCCAAATGCTCACGAGCAGTAGGCTGACATAGAGGACCCCTTGCAGGGTGCTGCAGGTGCTGCTCTCTGTTTAAAAATGATTCATGATGGTTCACTATGGTAATCCACCGACCGATACTGAAAGTCTGGAAAGAAGTATATAATGTACAGTTTAGCTGATGGTTTCTGAATGCCTTGGTAGCATGTGTTATTTCCAACCACCTATTGATGGGAATGACAGGAAGTTTGAAAGCAAGAGAGAACCTGAGAGCACACAATTCAGAGCCAAGTCATTAATATAAATTAAAGTTAAATATCTCTGTATTATGTAGTAACAATTCTGGTACTGGGACCATCCCATCACAGAGTAATAATAATAGTGCCCTTTTTCTAGAGTCCAAATTAAGCTTCAATGAGTTTCTAATTATTTCAGAGAAGTTGCTCTTGAGCTACGCTAGCAGCTTTGCTAACAATTTTATGTCTGATCTTGCACATTTGATATTTTGTTTAAGATGAAACTTCTTGCTTCACCTGATTGTTCTTTAAGTGAAGAGGGGTTAATCTAGTGGTTGCAAAGTAAAATAAGAATGTGTCACTTTAGAGACTCAGAAGCCAGAATGGAAATAGAAGGGACACCAAGCATATGGAGCATTTTGCATTTAATGGTCTGGATTGTGATTTTTGAAAATATTTGGGTGATCAGTGCTTGTGCCTTAGGGTAAGGAGCAAATACTGAAGCCCACAAGGTTGAAGGACGTGAAGGTTGGCAATGGATTCAACAAGTGTTGCCTGGTGCACCGCGCTAGGAGCTTCCCAAGCAGCTATCCCGGAGGCAGTCTTCCTCTCCTGACTTGGAGGAGGGAATATCAGTTTCTCTACCCTTACCAGAATGGAGGAAGAAAAGATATTCTGGCTTTAAAATGATCCTTCGTTTAGGCTCCTCTTTTCTTGGTCATGGAGAAGAGAAATAGGAGCCCCCAAGACAAGCCAAGGCTGGGTGTTGAGAAGCTTCCCTATGTGGGATCTGGGATACCTGCGTTTTGGAGGAAGCTGCATGTTGGCAGGGAAGACTTGGCTCTATCTTATATATGGATTTAATAACAAATAGCATTAATGCTGGGATGGTTCTAGAGAGAGATAGTTCTTGTAAGCAGTCGGGAAGGGTCAGAGGAGGTGTAGTGCAGTGGGCAGTGCGTGCAGAGGTAAACCTGATCCCAGCGTGTGTGCCATGCAGAATGGGCACGCTTTAAAATCTGGGTGCCTTTGCCCCCAGAATCCTCCTTCAGGGAAGGAAGAAGAGAGCTTGAGGAATATGGCCACCGCGATGCAGTCTGGTGCTGGACTAGTGCTGAGCAAAGCACCTTTCAGAAGGAGTAACTGTTGTAGAAGGATTCTTATTTTCCCTGTATTACCATAAGAGTTGTTTTTGTATTTTTTTTTTCTTCTGTATCACAGTTTCCTTGCATCGTCCCTCTCCGTCCTCATTCCGGGAATGAGGAAGCACTCTCTTTGCAGAAAGCAGCGTGTTGTTTTACCCAGCTTCCATGACTGGAAGCGGGAGGGAGCGAGCGAGGTTTGGCGCGCGGGCGCCGCGACGGGAGCCGTGCCCGACGTGTTTCCCCGGGCTGCGAGCGTGCAGCACGAAGCAGACGTGCGGCCCTGCCAGCGAAGTCACTGCTGGCTGCTGCTCGTGCAGCCTGGGGTGGCAGCTGAGACAAGACGAGGCCAAGCAGGTATGACCGTTGCCGTGCCAAAGCCTGAGCGCCGCTGAGCGCTCGCGGCACTCGTTGCAGTCAGCTCAGCCTCGGGTAGGATCGGTGCCCCGAGCGCTTGGTTTTTGTGTGTACTCCATTTGATTTCTCTCCTTTCACGGCGAACATGAGGAACACGCAGAAGCTAACTGCTTGGGAGGAAGCTGGCGAGGTCTTGTTTTCTGCATTTCACCCCTTTGTTTTCAGTTGGCTGGAAAACCCCCAGCCAAAAAAATATCATTTGGAAGCCTTTCCAGGGGCAGAGGAAGCTGAGAACAGTCAACACCATCTAGTGGCACCCGAGGAAAGTACCAGGGGAGAGGAAGCTAGGCGCGAAATGAATGCAAGGAGACGGTCCCGCCATCTGAACTTGGACTTTGAACTCTGCAGCACTTCCCTGACCCGTCCAGACATGCCGGCTTGGCCGCAGGATGCAGGAGTTAGCTGCCTGCCAAAACAGGGTGTAGCAAACGCAAACAACTTCGGTCCGGCATAGATTACTTCAAAAGAGCATTAGAAAGGTGGTAATACCAAGCCCTCTGAAGTTGGGAAATGGGGGAATTAAGTTGCTTCTGCGGGTGTATTGCAGCCTCCCTTGCCTAACATGCCACTCTTCGTCACGTGTCGGTGTGCAGAAGGACCCGTGTCACATTTCTGCTCGCAGAACTGTTGCCTCTGCCACCCAGCATGTAGATCCCATCTACAGCAATCTCCTAAAATCTTGTTCTGAAGGCAGAATTTCTTGCCTGCCTTTTCTTCACAGTTCTTGTCCCAGCGGTGCCCGAGCGCTGCGCTGGCTTTCGCCGTGGTGCTTTACTCCGTGTTGGGTTTTTGCACCATCCTCCTTGCAGATGCCCATGTTGCAGATGAGGAACAGAGGTGTGATGGGCTCCAAGTCAATGGCATCCCTCCAGCTGGGGTGCCCAGTTCAGGATGGCGCAGCCCTTGCTTTCCAGACCACCTCTGCCGCTGGTTTCAGTCACGGCAGCGAGCACGGGGCGCTCCTGCGTGTCAGCCATGGGGATCAGGTGTCCAGGAAACGCTGCACACATAGTTAACGTCCCCAGGATGGGGAAACGGGCAGGCATGGAGAAACGTGGCTTTGGGCTCTCATCTCGCACCGCAGCAGAAATGTGCAGCAAAGGCAGGGTCTGCTCTGTCCCCTGTCTGCACTGCTTCTAGAAATGAGGCAACCTCTCCCAGGCAGGAGCCATTTTCACTGTTGCCTGGTTCCTCCAGAGGGCAGCGTGGGGATGGTCATGTGGTGGATGGAGCTATCGCTGCCTCTCAAGTTTCTTTCCACCAGGCTCCATCCCATGATCTGTCTTCTCCTGCGTGCCAGCGCTGGAAGCAGTTTGAACCCTTGGTGAGCCTGTACATGGCATTAAACCAAAATGAAAATCTACTGCTTTGTGTTCTGGGTTGTTTTTCTGCCAGGTGATTGCCTTGAAAGGACTCGCTGAGGGGTGCCAATGAGCTGGCACGAAGAGGGGCCTCGAATGCTGGGGCTGTGAGAGGGGAGGACCACAACAGCACTGAGGTAGAGTTATTTAAACGGCTTGGATCCTTGTGCTGAGGCTGTGGTTTCACCAGTGCTGTAAGCTGCTACCCAGACATGGATCCTCCTCTTCTTCTCATGGCCTCTCCTCCTGCTCCGCCACCCCTCGTCCAAGCTGTGTGTGTGAAACAGCACAAGTTTTCACCAAGGGTTGCTGCCTGCAGAGGAGTGTGAAGAGTCAAGCCCTGGGGGCTCTGGATAGGCTCGTTTTCCTGTGTTGTCAGGTTCATCCATCTTTTCCTCTAGTCTGGATCCCTTCTGCCATGTCCTCTCAGCCTTGATCTTGTCCCATCGCTGGCTGCTCCTCCGGATTTTTGCTTCTTTTAAGTTAATCTCAGTCTCCACAAGCACAGAGCCAGAGCCTCAGTTATTAGCGTAGTGCGGCCTAGATTTGTTCATGCAGGCTCTCCCAGACCTAGTTTCCCTTCACCTGCATAACTAAATCAAATACTTTTCCAAGCAGTATAGTTTGCAAAAACAACACCTTTAACAAGGAATGCAAGCCAGGCTGGGAACTTTGTTGTGTATTTTCAAAGTTTTTGTGTATTTAAATTACTATAAGGTACATTTCCAATCCTACA